CCCCCCCTACCCCCCCACCCCCGCCCAAGAGGAAACCACCCTTAAAAGGATTTTACACCACCCTGGAAGGACCCTCCATCCTTTCCCGGGTGACAAAAACCTGATCAGATGACCTGGCCTTGGATGGAGGGCTAATCAGATTAAAACAGCCTGCCAACAAGCCCATAAAAACCCTAGTACCAAATCGTCAATGCTCTCGGGTCCTCTCCCTGTTTGGGAGCTTTGTACAGTCGCTCAATAAACTTTGCTTTACTATCACTCAATAAACCTTGCTTTGCTGCCCACCACCCTGTCTGGTCTACCTGTTCATTCTTTGAAGTGGTATGACCAAGAACCACCAAAGGAAAAGAAATCCTGTAACAGGAGAGAAGGGGGGAAGGAATGAGAAGGGGGAGGGAAGGCAAATGAAGGCAAAAGGAAGGGGGAGAGGAGAGGTAAAGGTAGGGAAGGGAGGAATAGGGGAGAAAGGAAGGGGAAAGAGCAGAGGAAAATTTTAAGTGTGTGTGTGTTCTGTTCTTTACATTTTTCTCTACCCATATAAATAAGATTCTGCCTTCTTTGGCTTCAGAATAAAAATTGCTTGGTGAGAACATCCTGACGTGGCTTTTAAAAAAGATTGTTACGTTATATTGGTTACCCTCAAGAGGAAGGGGAAAGAGTGTTTGGGTGGGCAGGGCGGTGGGGTAGGGAAAAGGAGAGAGGCAGAAGAGATAAGAGAGAAGGAAGCTAATAGATTCATTTTAGGGTATTTTGTTGTGCTTAAAACATCCAGGAAAGGAGAGTCCCAATAAGGACTCAAATTAAATCTCCCTCTACAGAAGTGATGATTGAAGTCCTAAAACATTGTTATTTAATTTACAAAATAGAGTAATTAGAAAGTTTCTGCATACTGTAGGGAAGGAAAAAAAATTCCTCTATCCTTCTGAGTTCATAGGTGGGACCCCTATAATAAAGGACAGCTTAACAAGAGAAAAACAAGTTTATGAATGTGAATACCTCATGTATACATGGGAGGTACCCAGGGAAAAATGAGTAACTCCCATAGGTGGCTTAGATTCAGACTTAAATACCATCTTAAACGGAAAAGGGGAAGAGAGATGTGGGCCTCTTAAAGGGGAGTAAATGACTATTAGGAAGGATGAATGGGCCCTTAGAAGTATAGGTAAGAGATATGATAGTTAGTGACAAAGTTGGTCTGGGTGTGGTATTGACTTCTAGTCCCCTCCCTGTGACAAGAGTCAATCTCCTGTCGTTGAGGAAACTCCCAGGGAGGGGATTGATAACTGAATTCCTTTTGAAGGATCTGTCTTCAGGCAGATAGGGGAGTTCAGAGAGATCCTCTCCCTGACCTTGCTGTTTAAATTCCTACAGCTCAAGATAATTGATATACCACAGCGACATATGTTGTGGTGGCAAGTTCTGAATTCCTGCAGTCATATTTTGGAAGGGCGCATTCTGCTATCCTTCAATGCCCAAATTTGTGAATGCAGCTTTTTACCAGTTCTTCCCCAACTTGCTCCCTGAGGTTGAGGTTTTCTTTCACTTCTCAGAACACTTTAATATAAGACCTGGATTGGCCACCGAGCAGCTCTGTGTTCAGTCTCATCACCCATTTCTACTCATGAATCATTTAGCATTAGAGTGTTATAGTTGGATGTGTAGCCTAAGATTCTTACAGAAACAATTTGCTGCACTGAATTTAATTTGGTAAATAATAACAGCAAACACCCATTGAAGTCTACTATTTGCCTGGCACTGATTTGGCCATGGTAAATAAGTCCTGAAAAATATGGAAAATTTAAGGATTACCTCTGAAGCGGGAGAGCAAGCTTCTTGTCTCACAGAGTCCAAGAATGAATCTCGAGGACAAAGAAGAGTGAGTAAAGCGATAGAAGTTTATTAAGCAAGGATACAGACAGAAAGCTCTCAGGAGTGAGAGGGGTCCCTACAGAGTTGCCAATGTGGGCCTCCACTGACAGTCTTTCATTTAGAACTGACCAGGGAGCTGTGGCCTTATTCTTGTGATGTCTTGGCTGGAGTAAGGACTGGTGATTACATCTTTAATGGCTTACTTCTTTTTTAGGGTCTGATTATTCTTTGTTGGGTGCAGGTGATTATCATAAAAAAGACACTCCCCCCACATGCCTAGGGTAGGGTGGTCTGGTTTGTTCCCTTATCTCTGGTTTCCTTACATTTCCATATTTTTGGGATTTTTGTGACCCTGATCATGGAGCCCCCTATCTACTTCTTCCTACCTAGCCCCACCTGTTCTTTACTCACCCCTAGGAAGAAAAGAACTTCCCCTTGTATCCCTAATCATCAATTTTGATGGAAGAAACGGAATCATTTTTTTTAAAAGTAACTAATTTAACAGATATTTTATGGACAAGGTGCTAAGGAGGGTAAAATCAAAGTCTCTACCTTTTAGATATTTATCATGTTGTAGGCAAGATGATATATATGGAAATTTATAGACAACCAAATTAATACAACAGTTTATCCTAACAACAACATTATTTCTTCTTCTTCTTTCCAAAAAAAGAAGAAATGGAAGCTCAATCTATTCTCTTTTCCCTCCACAGCTGGCCCTTCAGTGGACCTTGTTTTTATCACTCCCTCCACGGCTTGATATTTCACAATTCCTTTTTATTTTTTGGGTAGAATATCCCTGGCATTTAGCTTTGTGCCTGATGCAAAGAATATGCTTAATAATATTTTTCTTTTTTACTGAATGAAGTGTTAAAAACAAGATAATAGACCCATAATGTAGTCCCTTATGCTAAGCCAAATGGAGACTTGATTATATTAATTATAGTTTTGCCCCCCCCATGGAATCTTAATCCACTCCATCCAGAATTATCTGATCAGCAGTAATAAGGTAATCCACCTGAAAACCCATGCCATGCCCTAAGGGAAAGTGACCCTGTCATCTGTCATAACTAATCTGCTTTTTAAATCTAGTATAACATCTTTGTTCCAACATCCTTCTTCCTGTGAGTCTTTCATTTTGTACAGCTCCTAGGAGTTCCTTTCTCTCTGCTAGGTTGGGTGCTGCCCGATTCATGAACTGTTGAGTAAAGCCAGTAAGATCTTTAAAATTTACTTAGTTGAATTTTGCTTTTTAGCAGAAGGAAACAAATTAAAAGAGATTTACAAAACATAAGTAATAGGAATATAGCTTAGAGCTGTAAGTTCTTTAACAGTGGTGTTAAAAAGGCAAAATTCAACAGAGTAAATTTGAAGATCTGATTAGATTTATTAACAGATTCATGAATTGGGCAACATGTCATCTAGCAAGTAGAGGGGAGTTTTAGGGGTTATACAAAATGGAGTTTTTATTGGAAGGAGGATGGGGCCAGAAAGTTACTAGCAAAAGAAAAGATTGTTTCAGGCAAGACCACTTTCCCCTGTGGGGAAGGGCAGGGGATCTTATCATAGGGCAGATTAGTATTTTGTTGGAATGGTTTCTAACACTACTATCAGAAGATTTTAGAAATACCAATGTGCAAATAAGACCTTGATAGGTCAATCTGTAGCTCTATTTCTATCTCTGTATCCACAGTCAGTAGTTAAAGGAGTGTGATTCTTCATCAAAAATGACACATACTCCAGGCCAGGCTCACTTCCTGGATATTGGAATCAGTCAGATCTTCCAAAGTTCTTACAGCCCAAGAAATAAATAAAACAGAAAAAAAAAAAAAGAGCAAATTTTGAGACACCCAGACCGGATTCAAAGTTTTACTCTCAACTTAATAAGGATACACTACTCACTTTGTAGGATTATTGTAAAAGTAGGATTGATGAAATGAAATATATTTTCTTTTCTTTGTTCAGTTACTTGTATTAAATTAATTTCATGTGTCTTATACCCCTCTTTTGGAGACTGGAGGGTAACAATTTTTGTCTGATTAATTTTGGGGGAAAAGAATGTGTCACTTACTGACTTAGGTGTCTTGGTATTCTAGCTTTCTACATGCATTGCTTTATATTTTAGTAATTTTGTGAGAAAGGCAATTTTAGGTCCATTTGATAGATGGGATACTGAGCTTCAAAGGGGGTTAGGTGAATTGTCCTGAGTTATACAGTGAACACATGATAGAGATGATTAAATAATGCTTTACCTGGTATGTTTTGGATGCTCAAAAAGGCATAGGCATGCATACAAAATAGATTCAATTATTCAGGCCCAGACTCTATCTTTATTGTTTTTTCATTTTTAAAAATTTTAATCTCAGTATAGTTAACATACAGTGTTATCTCAGTTTCAGGTGTACAATATAGTGATTCAACAATTCTATGCATTACTCAGTGTTCATCATGGTAACTGTACTCTTAATCCCCTTCACTTATTCCACCCATGCCCTTCCCCACCCCCCCTCTGCTAACCATCAGTTTGTTCTCTACAGTTAAGAGTGTTTTGGGGGTTGGGGATTAACATAAGAATAAAAAAAAAAAAAGAGTGTTTTGGGGGCACCTGTGTGGCTCAGTCATTAAGTGTCCAACTCTTGAACTCTGCTCAGGTCTTGATCTCAGGGTTGAGAGTTCAAGCCCTGTGCTGAGCTCCATACTGGGTGTGGGGAAAAAAAATACTGTTTTTGGTTTGTCTCCTTTTTTTCTTCCTTTTTCCTTTTTTTCATTTTTAGAGATAGAGAGTGTGCATTCGATGGGGTGGGGGGCAGGTTGGGGGGTCAGAAGCAGAGGGAGAGAGAATCTTAAGATGGCTCTCTGCCCAGTGCAGAGCCCAACACAAGAGCCGAAATCAAGAGTCAGACACTTAACTGACAGAACCACCCAGGGGCCCTTATTTGTTTTGTTTCTTAGATTGCACATATGAGTGAGATCATATGGTATCTGTCTTTCTCTGACTGGTTATTTTACTTCGCTGCTTAGGGGACAGCGCACTGAAGGAGCCCAACCTGTTTGAAATAGAGAATAAGAGCAGCATTTTGCTTAGATGTTTGTCAGTGACTGGAGATTCACTATCAGTTTAGAAAGAGGGGAGGAACTAAAGTTAGCTCACAAATTCCCCACCGGGTGGAGTCTGAGCAGAAGTGCTCTGCATTTCTCACCCTGAGTTCTGACCTGTAAGTTTTCAAGGAAATCTTGAGAGATTTTTCCTTTCAATTCTTTTTTTGTTTTAATAGGAGACTGGGAGCTGTGGACCCCATCGTCGGAATCCTAGCTGGTAAGCACAGAGACGCTGATAATACACTCTGTACACAAATACATAGTTAGTGATTTTTCCAAAGGAAAATTCTCTCTGTTAGAATCCTTGTTAAAATGCTTTAGAGGTTTCTTTTGCCAATTTCTTCTCTTTCTGTTTCTCCAAATTATCTTCATAGAAATGGCACAATCCTCTAATGTGCAAGTGCTCACACTTTAAAACGTTGGGTTAAATAGAGATCTTTACCAATGTATTGCTGTCAATAGTACTATGCAATTCATTTAGTGAAAGATGATTACATTTGACTAATTGAAGTTAATTTTGTAGTTACTTGAGTTTAAATGGCTCGATTAGATAAAAATTCAGATCTTTAAATAAGTATTAGGTCCTATGTTTTCTGGTAATTCTAGTTGTCTTATGGTGCTGTTAGTCATATTCAATATTTATTTGGAGAAGTGAAAATGTCTATTTCATGAGCCGGGTTGCTTCCCCTTTCATTTTATGAAATATTTGCCTAAGAATGGAGAGTTAATACACTTTTATTTCATAGCTAAAAAAAGTTTTTTCTTTTCTGCTTTTATTTTGAGGAGGGTGGGGTGTTTTTTAGGTAGAAACATTAGAGCAAATGTGTTGATCTTATTAATGTGATTCTCAGCATGTAATTCATATAATCCTTGACATGAAATATACAGTTGTGACAGTGAACAATGACACATTTAAAGAATACTGCTCTGTGCATGTGTATTAAATAACATTTTCTTTCTCACTGAAAAGCTCTGTACTTTAAAATTTGCTTTGCCAGGTTCTAAACTTTGAACTCGTGTGTAATTTGCTTATTTCAGGCATGAAACCTGAAACTGTGTAAAGATTAACCACTGAGTAGTCATAGTCATTTATTTAACTATTTAACCTTAGACACATAGGTGACTAGAAGATCCTGGATTCCATGATTCCATGAAAACAATCAATTTTTTATAAAAGTTTTAGCTTTAAAGTTATAGCTGCCTAATAAAATAGACAGAACACAATTTACAAAATTTCAAAAGCTAAATTGAGGGTAAAATGGCACTTTCCATCACAAGGTATTACTATTAAAAGATATCATGAGCATATCTTTTATCTCTTTATAAAGGAATTTACCTAATTTCATTTGATCCTAACCATGAACCTCTGAAGAAAGTAAAACTTAAATTATTAGTTTTATATAACATTGCAGCACAGAAAAGTTAGGTGGCTTTCCTAAGAACAAGTGTGTATGTATACATGCCTTCTTTTTTTTTTTTTTTAAGATTTTATTTATGTATTTGACAGAGAGAACCACAGCGAGAGAGGGAACACAAGCAGGGGGAGTGGGAGAGGGAGAAGCAGACTTCCCGTGGAGCAGGGAGCCCGATGCGGGGCTGGATCCCAGGACCCTGGGATCATGACCTGAGCCGAAGGTAGACGCTTAACGACTGAGCCACCCAGGCGCCCTGTATACATGCCTTCTTAAGACAATCAAAATTAAATGTGTGAAATGTAAAATTTGGATTTTTTTAGCTTGGGTTGATTTTTTTTTTTTTAATTTCAAAGTAAGAGCATGTCAATCTACTTGAAAATGGTAAACCTACAGGAGGCATAAATTGAGGCTTGTGAAGCACTAATTGCCTTGCTGACAGGATGAATGCAGAATGAAACAGCAATTATTCTGAGTTAATAAATTGTTTCCTTGGAGTGAGGGCACTCTGGTATTGGGCACTGCGGATTGTATTCACTTCTGGTGTTAGTGGTACATTTTGGCAGGTGAGACCAGGTGTGTTCTCCCTGAAAGCCTATTTCACTAGCAGGTGTTTTACTCTCTGTGCAGGTGAGGTTGTGACATCTGGGCTGTGACAGGCCCAGAAGTGGGACTAGCCTCTTTAACCTCTGCCTGGCTGGGACTGGATTAGAAGGATTGATTAAAAAGAGTAGTAGATTCATTGCCTCCTGTATTTGCAGATGGAGTACAAGGCTGAAAAAAAGAATGAAGTTGGGGAAAAAAGAGAATGAGCCAAAGAAACATATTTTCTTTTTTTAAGATTTTATTTATTTATTTGACAGAGAGAGACACAGCGACAGAGGGAATACAAGCAGGGGGAGTAGGAGAGGGAGAAGCAGGCTTCCCTCTGAGCAGGGAGCCCGATGTGGGGCTCGATCCCAGGATCCTGGGATCATGACCTGAGCTGAAGGCAGACACTTAACGACTGAGCCACCCAGGTGCCCCAAAGAAGCATTTTTTAAAAATCATAAAGTAAGATACAAGGAAAAATAAAATAAGAGGGCCAGGAATTCTGCTCTGTGCATTCTATCCACATGCCATGCCGAAGACAAGCATGGCTGACTCTGTTCCTCAAGTGAAGTGCAGTCCCAAACAGTGGACTCTTATTATCCCAGAGTTTGATCTGGAAGTAGAAGAAAATTATTCTGATCCCTCAAGATTGTTAGAAGGATTAAATAAGAAACAAATACAAAAAGGCTAATGAATTAATATGAATATCTTTTTTATTTTATTTTTTTAAGATTTTATTTATTTATTTGAGAGAATGAGAGAGAGCATGAAGGGGAGGGTCAGAGGAAGAAACAGACTCCCTGCTGAGCAGGGAGCCGGCCATGGGACTCAATTCTGGGACTCCAAGATGAATACCTGAGCCGAAGACAGTCGTTTAACCAACTGAGCCACCCAGGCACCCCCAAATATCTTTTTTTAAATAAAGAAAATTGGATTTTACTGGGAATATGATGGTAGCAAACTAATATGTATATTTAGGTAACCTATTCAGAGTTTACAGTCAAGCCCAGTGAACCCTCAAAGTTCTGACTCTCCAAAGAAATTACTAGATAAAAGGCAAGATTTTTGAAAATGTTTTTCTAATTAATTTCCATGTGGTTGGAGTAAGAAGGGCATTGCTCTATGGATAGTCATTAATCATGTGAAATAATTCAAGCTATTTTGTGCATTCTTATTAAATTGCTGTTTTAGGGGAATGCTCTACGTAAAAGCCACTGCTCAGGAATGGAATTGCTACAAAGATAAACAAGATTCAGGCCTCCAGGTAGAATATATATAGTTGAGTAGGATGGGTAGCCCAGCAACTCAATCAAGCCACCATAAGTAATGTGTTCATAGTAAAAACACACTTGATAGGCAGAAAACAGCTCATTAGATTCTCAGGACAGCCAATTCTCTAGGTGACCTTCCAGGATATACACATAGTTGTTGCATGGAAGGATTCAATGACTCCCCAGACTGGTTTGTCTTGTCACTTTTCAAGAGACATAGCTGTTCCATTCCCTACCATTGCATAACTAAGTTGATTCTTATTTGCTTCTGAAATCACTTCATATTTTAACAAGCAGTGGTTCTGTTCGACTTTGAAAAAAATGAGTCACTCATGACAATACTCCTTCTAGACCCAACCATCTTATCATTGCTTTCTGATTTTTAAAAATTTTTGCTCCTGTTTCCAACTGAATAAATAACTGTATCTCATAGCTCAGATTCCTGAAAGAATCTAATGAGATGTTCAGACAAACACCATCATGACTGTTTGGCTAAAGCAGTCACAGCAAGTCACTGTCTAACAAAACAGTGCACTGTCTCCAGTGAGTCAAGTGTCTAATAGAGGTGTAGTCAATTGTGACTAGGATAATGTCAAATGGTAGAGACACTGTCATCTCTATTCAAAAAGCAGGTTAATTCATCACAAGGCAATAGGTGGGAACCCATGCAGAATCAAGTTGTAGGTGTGGCAACATATTTCAGCTTTCCCAACCACAGAGGCATCTAAATAAATAGAGTATCTGGCAGGATGCCTTACTTACAAATAAAGGTGTGCTCTTAAGTGTTACAGGTATCCAGAGGAGGAAAAACTACTTTTAGTTGAGACAACATGACAGGCCTTGTGGGAGAAAAAAAAAAAGTAGCCTTTGAACTAGGGCTTGAAGGTGACTAGGATGTGAATATGTAGAAAGGGAAGTAGAACATTTTAGGCAAAGGGAATGACATGAGAAAAATCACAGAGGAAATTTCATGAAAAAGACAAATAATTTAGTATGGTCAGATATTGAAGGAACTATCAACACCAATGTTGAAATCGTTGACTTTTGTACAAAAGCATGGGTTGGAGCAATTGGCAGCCGTTATTGGCATCAAAGCTAAAAACATGTTCAAATCAAGCTCAGTACCCTTATTTGAGAATATACAGAATAACTTATCAGGGGAGACCCCTGGCAATTGAGAAAGGAAGAGGTCAAATAAATAAGAAGAATTCCAGTTTAGAGAATAGGAAGTGTGCTTGTTTTACTGGCATTGTATAACATTCAGACATGCAACTCTTCATCACCTAACACTGGGTGTGTTGGTTGGGGTGGGAGAAAAAGAGGGGAGGGTGGTGAGAAGAAGACAGATGATTGAGATTTGAGAGCCTCATCTCTGTTAGTTTTAGTTGGTTCTTAGGATTTCTAGGCTTTAAGTATAGTCTATGAGTTGAAAAATACCAAGCTTATATCTTGTGATCTAATTTTCTTCTGAGCTACAGACCCAAACATCCAATAGCCAGTTTGTTATTTCTACCTCAAACTTCATGTGTCCTAAACAGAACTTTGATTTCCCTCCTCAAAGTTTTTCTTCCCTAGGTATTTCTTATTTCACCACTTTTTTTTTTTAATTTCTTTTTTTTTTAAAGATTTTATTTATTTATTTGAGAGAGAGAGAATGAGAGACAGAGAGCATGAGAAGGAGGAGGGTCAGAGGGAGAAGCAGA